TCAAAATTAGATCTTCCATATTTTTCAATTGAAATTTTACTTTTCTTGTTTTTTTTCTAGGAATTTTAAATTAAAATCATGGAATATCTTTTTGAAATATTATTTTTCATGGTAGGAATTGCTTTTTTTCTTATCTTGTTTTAGTGTATCTTTTAGTGCAAACCGTGATTTTGGTTCTGATCTTGCCATGAATAAACTCAGGTTTTATTTTTAGGAATTTATTTTTAAATTTCAGAAACTATCTCAAATTCAAATATATTCTTTTTGCTGCGATATTTACGTTTACAACTTACAAATAAAAAATTCCTAGGAGAAATTTAATTAAAGCGCTGTAAAAAGGTACACGTAGTTACGTTCTTTATTTTTTGAAACCAAATCTCCTTATTTAAACATTAAAACACTGGTGTGTTTAAGGCTCATAAAATATACTGTACTCATAATACTGTATTATTGTTAATAATAATTATTTTCAACAAGCATTGTTATAAGCATTATTAGTATTATTGTTAACTTTTTATTCTTCCAAAAGATTTTTCTTTAAGAATCCTTGAAACTTTTTTGGAACGATATTTTTCTCCTGTACCTGGAAATTCTGGGCGCTAATTTTCGAAGTGTCCCCTTAGTTTTGATTTTTTTTTAGTCCTAATTAGTAGTAATTTAGTAATTTATTTTTAATTTAATAGGAATTGCGTCCCCACGAGGAAAAGAATACTAGACTAACCTGTGTGTGTGTGTGGCAGGCCAGAAGATGGATGGGAGTTTTTCGTGCTCTGTCCGCGTTGCCTCTGTGCTTGGAGCTGGAAAAAATATGGCCTACTCAAGTGTGAACACGGTCTGGCCAGCGTTGCCAACGACCCACCAGGCTGGGGCTATTGTTTCTATCCCCTTTCTTATTTATTTCTTTGTAATCCCCCTCTTTTTTTTGGAATTGTCTTACATCCTGGATTTGTTTTGTTTTGTTTTTTTCCTGCTGTGGCAGAATTTGCAAGCACACTTTAGGCTGCAAATTTATTTTTCTTCTTGATTTGTTGCTACAGTATGAGAGGAATTATGTTTTGATGACTTCATTAATTGATGAGTAATACTTGAAGAGGAGTGCTTTTACAGGAATAATGGATTCTTGAAAAAATGAATTTGAAGTGTTCATTAGTTGTTTTTATTTACATACTGATCATGAGCAATGTAAAAGTATGCATTTTGAGTATGCTGATGGAAGAAAAAATATCTGCAACTTTTCATCAGCATACTCAAAATGCATACTTTTACTTTTTTTAAATTGCAGATATTTTTTCTTCCTTGAGTTGAGGCACCCCTTTTTTCCACATTTACTGGACTGTACAGGGTACATGTGTAATTCTGATACTGCTACACTTCATTATTTATATTTAAAAACATTGAAGTGATGTGTGTAAGGTTTGAGTATTAATGCTGTAAAAATAATGTTCTCACTACAGTAATTTCAAGACTCATTACAACCAGTTTATTTATGTTGGTGTTCGTCAAGCCTTTAATATTTGTCTCCATGATTTTTTAAAGTTTCTTCAGAAGATAAATCAGATCACAGTAATTTAATGGTTTTTTTTTTACTGTGTAAGATATTTTGTTTTGGTATTGTGACCAGGATTTGTCCTGTGCATATTCTGTTTGGAAAATTTATTTTCTTTTTTGCATGATGATATACAATGGCCAAAAAAAGTTGTAATGTCATGAATTCCTGATTTTAGAACATTGAAAATTCTTTTTAGCAACACTGTACTGTTTTAACTGTGCTTTGAAAGAAGAAGACCCTAAAAGCTTCTTTCAAGAAAATTTTAAATTCAAATCCCACAGAATCAGGATATTAAATAACCATGTAAATTTATTCAATGGTAAGGCAATTCAGAGATTATGATTTAAAGAAAAAACTGTGGAGGAAGAATAGAAATAAATATTTTTGACACTCCAGTGAACAGAGATAAGAAATATTCTGAATACTTGTGCCAATTAACTGATTCCATTTAAATATTAGTGATCTATTTTTAAAATTATTCCAAGTCTCATTGTTTGATATGCGCCTGCTTTAAATAAACTACAGTAAATTCTGAATAGTTCAATTAATAACATTATAAAGAGTTGCTTAACAAAGATTGTATAAGCTGTGAAAAAAATTACGTTGGCAACCTTGCATTATTTTAGCTTGGCAAAAGAACTCGTAATTCTTCCACCTCTGAGAAATGTTTCCGTGTGTGATTTGAGGAGGGGGGGGGGGNAAGAGTTGCTTAACAAAGATTGTATAAGCTGTGAAAAAAATTACGTTGGCAACCTTGCATTATTTTAGCTTGGCAAAAGAACTCGTAATTCTTCCACCTCTGAGAAATGTTTCCGTGTGTGATTTGAGGAGGGGGGGGGGGCGAATTCAAGTCAAGTAGAACATTTTATTGCTTCCTCCATGTTTGATTCATGGACCATCAGGAAAGTCGCCAAAGAGGGAATAAATAAATAACAAAAGGACAAGAAAAAATAATTTTAAATTACGAAACCCCCCTGGAAGGAAAATGCGAGAACTCTGGAAACCATTTCTTATTCATGTGTACCACGACAGGTAAAGAATACTCGTGATTTGTGACTGGAAAATCGAGCTTCCGCCGGACGCCGTAAAAGTGACCGATGTTGCGGCTCGAATCAAAACTCCCCCATTTTCAAAAAAAAAAATACGAAAAATTCAACGATATAAAATATTTCAAGGTTTAAAAAATTGAAATAAAATTGAAAACTGAAGAAAAATCGCTGGAACAGTTTTCATTGTCCGGAGACCTTTAAATTTATGATTCATGCATAAGAAAGTACAGTACATTACTGTATTTGTACTCGTATTCAAACTCAATTTTCATGCGCTCACCAAACAAGAAAATAGGAAAACTTTTATTTTGATTGAAATTCAAAAAAGTGAGGCCTGTTTTTTGTTTGAAAAATTTGGATAGGGTGTTTCACATTTTTTGTCAATAAAATACAGTATACCAAAAAAATATTTTTACAGCTGTATGTTGAGAAAAAGAATAGATTGGGAATTTTCAATAACTATTGCATCCTTAGCAAGTTGAATAGAAAGTCACAAATACTTGAGTTTGTCAAGTTGAATGTTTTACTTTGATATACTGTAGTTTCTTCTCTGAAATGTATCATGTCTGTCAAGGTTGATAAAAATTTGAGATTGTAATGCTGATAAATAAGGTATTCTCAATTGATTTCTTCTACAATGAGATTCTTCTTGTTTGGAGGATTTCGTTCTTTACCAAGACAATTTTTATAAAATGTTATAAAATAAAAATATATTCTTTGAAGTTCCTTTTTTCTCCTGTGTGAAATTTTGGTCAACTTGCAAAGAAAATTACTGCTGCTGGTTTTTTTTTGTGGTACCATAACAACTATTTTGTGAATAAGAGTCAGACCAGCTGGAAATGTATGTGCAAAAAATGTCTTTAGAATTGTTTGCATATCTGGTGATATTTTTTATTCATGCTATCTATCTGAATGTGTCCTGGATTGGATTGTGGTTATGCTCCACTGGTTCTTCTATGCAATGCTGAAGAGACTAGTCAATTTTTATGTACTGTGTATCTGCATTTAATATCAAAAGTAAATCAAATGGGGTCAACGTCATGACATAAAATAAACAAGTCGTGAAGTTGACGTAGTTTTCTTTGTTTTATGACATGAAGTATGTTTAAAAGGTAGTGTAAAAACATACCGGTTACGTACACATTACAGACGAGATCTAATTATTTCGAATAAGTGGGCATGATGTTCCTTTGAAGTGCATAATCTGTTCTTGAGTTATACACTGTTGAATTATTTCTTCATTGTTGCACTCCAGATCATTTTTCCAAGGTAATCAATGTATTTTGTCTGTCAGTGATCCCTTGTCATGCATTTCAAGTAATGTACAGCATAGTAAATATATTTGTTATTTTGTACAGTACTTCCATTCTTGCTTCTAGTTAGCAGCAAATTGTTGGATATACCCTAAATGTGCTCATACAGTGGAATGAACAAATCTTATTTCTTAGATTACAAAAATCTTAATATTACAATAATTTATTTTACTCAGTGTATGAATTGGAAAACGAAGTAGATTATTTCAACTGGTGCAGCATATCAAGTTGGAACTGAACCGCATATAGCACTTGAAAATATTCAAAGCACTTTCAAATCTATAACTGTACCAACATGGTTTCTTGGACAACATTGATTGAATGAGTTTCATTTTGTTGAAAAGCTTGCTGAACCTGATGCTTTCATTGCAGGGAAGAGGAGGAGGCAGATGGCAAGGCTGGTCAAGAGTTGAGCAACCCGTACCCCTCTCTTGCAACTTCAGGGTTTCTCCCCCTGTGTGATGGATGATGCCCTGCCTGGGACAGGTGAGATTTCAGTGTCCGTTTGATGATGGATGGACAGACAGAACCTGACTCTAGATTTGATTGATGGCTTCTCAAGTGGTGAGGAATAATAATAAAAGAAAAGAACCGAATATTCCATCCGTCTTTTTCCCCTAGTATATATTTCAACCACGGAAACCTTTTCTTTTTCTTTCTGTAATACAACAAAGCCCAAAAAACGTGTTTCTCATCAGCAAAACACACTTCATCAAAACAAAAATAAAATTTTCCTGCTATTTGAGATTCAGACAGACACATATAGACTCCCTTTAACTTCATGTGTAGTCTTTTTTTATTTTTTCAAAAAGTTTTTGTATCACATCATATCTCTCTACCCTCCAACAAGAGAGAAGAGAGTTTACAACACCTTTTCTTTTCCTACACCACAAGATTCACTCCATTGTTCCACTTAATCTGAACTTTTTTCTTTCTTTTTTTTTTGGGAAAAAGGACAACAGAACAAAAACACTTGGTAACAATTTCACATAGGATTGATTGATGATGATGTAAAAAGCTGCAACTTTGGGGAGGGTGTTTCACAAGTGGAACAGTGGAGTGAATGAATCCAAGACCATTTTATTAAAATCACAGGCCAATCCGTGATGCAGCAGCTGCGGCATACAGTGCACTGTAGGGGGAGTAATAAGCTGCAGCTGCTGCAGCAGCCGCGGCTGCTGCAGACACAGGTGGCGCCACTGGTGCAGGAGGAGGTGGCATGAAGTGCGCAGGCTTGTATGGATGGTATCTTGTGGTTACAGGCTGTGGTTGCTGCGACAACACTGGTGAAGACTGGGCAGCAGCCATGACGGATGCAGAAGAAGAAGAGGATGTGTGAGTGCGCAGATGGGCCAGGAGTTCTTCTGAAGTTGAAAACCGCTTGCCGCAGTAGGCTTCACCACCTGCGATCCAGTTGCACACGTACGGGGGCTTGTCAACTAGTGTCACGACCGTTGGGCCAGGCTCCGTGAAACTGCCACCTCAGGACTTTACTAACTTACATTCATTTTAATAGACTGATGTCCACTAACTACCGAAGAGATTATTAATTAATAATTAAATTAATTTAAATTAATAAAAAAAAATATACTTAAAAATATATACTTAAATATATACTTTAAAATATACTTCATTTGATAAGACTCCAAATGGAGATATAATAATACCATGTACTGTACTATTTATTTTATCCCATTGAAAATACCATGATACTTATTCTTGTGAAAAAAATTTGAGAATAAAATTTGATTCCAACATTATTCCAATGATTATTCTATTTTCATATCATCTAGTACAATTGTATATTTTAGATTATCAAAATACTGAATAAATGATTATTATATTGGCAGTGGTGTGGAATAGTGTATTTAATTGTACATTATTCCTATATTCATTATATTTAATTAATAATGAATGATAAGAATGTAATATGAATATATGTTGTACCAATAATAATGTACAATATATATTTCTCTATTAATCATTAATGGGCCCTTGAATATTTACAAGAAAGATTTGCCACTACAAATATTATTTTTATATTGGCAAACAAATCTACCCCTGGATTTTGTGAGGTAGTATCTGACCATGTATCTTTATTATATTACAGGTGTCTCCATGCAAATTTCGCTCGGAAAGGAAGACGAAAACTTGAGCATCAAGATGTTGGATCCCTGGATCTGTTTGCAGTACTGACCGAACGAGGGTAGACAAGAAACCCTTCCCCCCAAACGAGGGTCCAAGAAACCCTATGAGGGTAGACAAGAAACCCTACCCTGCCGAAAAACTTTTCCCGAAACAAGGGTAGACATGAAACCCTTTCCCCGCCCTACTTCTCCCATTCATTGGCGGCAGCATTGGCGAGAGGGTCACCTCTCGCCAATGGATTCTGTCTGTGGATGGGAGGGTTCACTCACCCAAAAAATGACCCCCCATTCATTGACGGCCAAATGACGTGAGATCATTCATGATCGATTGATTGTGTACCTTTCGTCATTGAAACTGTCCGTGAATGGGGGTTTTTTTTTTTGGGTGGGTGGAAAAAATTTCTTGAGTGTGCTTACCCATTTTATGGTATCAATTTCTTTGCCGTAAAATTAATGCCCGAAAAGGTGTTCATTTTATTGAAATTTTATTCACGAATTATTTATGATGTGAATGATATTATATATCATATAATGATAATATATGTATAATGATATTATATATTATTATGATATTTATGATAGAATGTGTATTTTTTATGGTCACTTTTATTCATGTGAATAATAAATTATGAAGAATATTGTAATTTACATCGTTTTTAATCCAGATATACAACAAATTTGTTTTATTGATTCACATTTTTGAAATAATAACCTTTTTATTTTGTGTAAGAAATGTTTTGTGTATCCTTGTAATGTTGGACCTTATTTACACAAGAGAGGATTATTATTTTCACTTGGAGGATATAATGAATAAATGAAATAATATGTATATTGAAAGGAGGAAACCTAGAATGTTCACAAAGATGCAGTAAGAGGAAAAACAATACCAAAACTTGACACCACAGTGGTATATATAATATTACATATAATAAAAATGGCATCCAAATGTCATGTGTAACTTACGTTGAAGGCATGACAGGACTCGGCACAGTCTGCTGACACTGTCCCACACAAAAGGGGTCCCTGCAGTTGCTCAACTGATGGTGCACAGTCATGTAGGGCCTGTAGGCATTGGCCAGGGCTGCTGCATGGTTGTTCACAGCTGCTGCTGCTGCAGCTCCACCACCAAACAAGTGTGGGTAGTAGAAAGGTGCAGACCTCAAGAGTGCAGCAGGGTCATATCCCAAACTTGGGTAGCCTTGTGCTTGACTTTGTGCATACATTTGTGACTGGGCAAATGGGTATGATCCAAAGCCATGACTTGCTGCAGCTGCTGCCATCTGTCCTTGTAACACTTCCACTCCTGACCTGAATGATACATTCACAAAAAAAGGAACCTCATCAATTTGATATAGTTCATTGTAATATAATTATATTATATATTAATATATAATATATTATATTATATATTAATATATAATATATTAACCTCATCACATTTTGAAATGCTGAGAGAAAATAGCTAATAAACTCAATGGTTTTGCTAATTTCAACCATGCAGTTTTTAATCACTAGGTTTTAGAAGATCATGTCTAATGTACAAAATTACAACTAAATTTATCATTTGACACTGGAGATTTGAATACACCCAAAAATCAATTTCAAGGTCAAAATTGACTATATGACAAGTCAGTTGTGGGCATCTAAAAACCTTAATTTCAAGGTATCCCTCCTGAATTTGAACTAATCACTTGGAAAAACTAAGAAGAAGAGGGCGCCACCAACCTGATGATTGGATGAACAGTCTGCGCAGGAGATGAACTGCTGCTGTTGTTGGACACAGGCACTTCAGACAAGGACTTGTGCTTGAGTCCATCATCACTCTTGCTCAACTCTAAAAAAAAAAAAAAAAAAAAAAAAAAGGTCTTGGCAAATAAATTGATTTACTGCATCAGAATTTATTAATTTTACTTCCTTAAAATGTTTCTTGTTGGATTAAGAAGAGGGCACTACTGGTCAAATCATGAAAACAGTTTCAAAAGTGAAAAATCACAAATTTTAAGAAGTTTGAATTTTAGGTGCAAGCACACTTTGATTAACAAAGGGTCTCTGGAAAGATATGAAAATCTACTTACTATATTTCTAGGGATCTCATGACAAACCTTCATTACATTGATATTTTGATTAATGAAGTATATAATTTTTACACCCTGAGGAATTTAATGTGGAACTACAATTCCTGGTTTATTAATTACTTGATATACTTATTGTAAAAGGTACAATATGAAAGTATTTCTTCTGGAAACTTGAGGAAGAAGTTGTGCTCTGAAATTAAGAATGTAAGACTTTTCATGGAAGACATGACTTCACTAGGATCTAGGATTTTAAAATGGTACCTCTTGACAATTTGAGACTAGTTCAGATTTAATAGCGAAATTACAGTGGGCCTGTATTTGGATTAAATATTGTTCTCACATTAACTCATTTTCAGAATGCAGTAGAGTGGATTGCTGAAAATATAGTTTGAACAATGATCTGAAAGGAAGGTAAGAGAGTATTTGATTTTTTGACAGCATTTCATGTAATCCAAAGAATGTGCTACTTGATTTAAACTGTGTTGAACAAGACTTTTCTGCCATGCTTTGAAGCAAGTACTGCACAGTACTTTGATTTGTGGCCAGTATCTGAGATGTATTATATCAGATTGATGTGTATGCCACAGATGGATATGTTTCAGTGCATCATGAACATAAGGTACTGAATTGAATATGTTTCAGAAAAGCTTACATATTTAATCACAAATACTTTTAATACAATGTCAGCAAACCTTATGAGAAATAAAACACAGGCCTTTTTCATATTTCATCAGAAAATTACAAAATGTTTTACATTAAAAACCTTTTTTTGAATGATCAGAGCAAAACATGCATTTTGAAAATATTAGTAGACATAGATACTTGAATAACATACTGGATTAATCAATCTTCAGCAATTTTTTTTTTCATTAGAGAATCAGAATTGAATACATTTTCAGATGCATTATTATTTTTAAAAGGATCTCATTGCATTCCATGAGAAAAACAATACATAATCTCAACATTTGTTATCAACAAAAAATCATAGATAATAAAAAAATAGTTTATATTAGGGATTGTTTTGAATGATCAGAGCCATAAATGAATTTTTTAAGAGAAAAGTAGACATATATAATTGAATAACATACTGGAATAATCAGTTTTCAACAAAGCTTTTCTTAGAGCTATAGACCTTGATTTTTTTGAACAATCCATCAGAAATGATATCATTTTCATGTGCATTAGTATTTTAAAAGGATCTCTTTGCATTTCTTGAGTAAACCCATACATAATCTCATTAATGTTTTTCAACATACCTTGACACAGGTCTTACATCAGAAAATCATAATTAATAAAAGTAATTCATAAGAAAAGTAGACATATATAAATATAATTGAATAACATACTGGATTAATCAATTTCCAACAAAGCTTTTTTGGAGCTATGGACCTTGATTTCTTTTTTTCAAACAATCCATCAGAAATGAAATCATATTCATAAACATTAGTATTTGCAAAAGGATTCTCTTCGCATTTTCATGAGAAAAACCATGCATAAAAACTTTTGTGGTACAGTATGTGTTTTCAACATACCTTATGCTTGGTGTGATCAGAGACACACAGGGAAGGAGATTTGTTGCCAAGTTTGCCATATGATGCGTCATCATCATCAGCCCTTCCGCGTTTTTCTCCGGATGTTTTCACGCCCAAAGAACCGTTTTCGGCGCCAATTTGGCTGCAAGTTTGTGCCAACAATGCCAATGGACTCTTCTTCGCATCCAACTGTTTTTTTTTTTAAGGAAGAAAAACAAGAAGCAAAAGTCATATTAGAGACTTTGATGTTCAACAAAAAAAAATCGTGAATAAAAATGACAGAATTGCAAAATAAATCGTCGCGAATTTCGGGGTATGTTGTTTTCAAACATCAGTTCGCCAAATTTTCCGCCGAGTATGAATTTGACGAAGAATTCTGCGTTTTGTCAGTTTCACGCTTCTCAAAAGGTTTGAAAATAATTTCAGGATTTATCAAGAGGAATTTGAGAAAATAAATGTTGAACTTTGAAATAAAATTGATTAAAAATACTCGGATCAATTACTGAATTGTTGAATCCTTTCAAATTACTACACAAATTCAAATTCCTGCAATTTTGGCAAAAGTGAAAAATAGTATTCTTCAAAAAAAATGTAAGATAATTTCCAAATAAAATCTGCTACTTTCTAATGGGATCCATAATCTAGAATATGATAAAATTTGAGTTTTCAAAGTTTAAAATTCTGAAAAAGTGAAAAACTCATTCCCCAAAAATCCTCATCAACTTGGTGAAAAAACACTGAACCCCTTCTCAAAATGTTTGCAAAAAAATAAGGAAGGGATCCTCAATCTATAATATCATATAATTTCAGAGTAGAATGCCCTCCACTTTCCATCCAAAAAGGATTTTAATCAACTTACAAATTTGAAAATTTTGAAAAAGTAAAAAGCCATTCCCCTAAAAAATCCACATCAACTTGGTGAACAAATACAGGATTTTACCCTCCACTCAATATTTTTGAAAATATAAAGCAAAGAATTTCCAATCTTTGAATATGATCTAATACTGTACCAGAGTAAAATCCCTCCACTTGTCAAACAAAATACTGTACTGTACTAAAATTAACCCTCAAACTTGGAAAGTTTCTCTATAAGCAAAAAAAAACCATTCCTTCCTTTAAAGAAAAATCCAGGTAAAAAAATACTAAATTAATTTACTTTGCAACCATATTTTAATAAATATTATGCATGGAACCCATTATCTAGAACATGATCTAATTTCAGGAAACCCTACCCCCCCCCCCCCCCCACTTCCCTTCCAAAAAATGCAATTATTTCATCAAACAGTAAAAATTCTGCATGAGTAAAACCCCCATTTCCCCAAGAATCCACATCAACTCAGGAACAAGAAATCATACCGAATGACTCCCTACCAATATTTTAGAAAAATATGATGCATGGGATCCCCAAACTAGATCATTATCACAGTGAATTCCATATCACTTGCCACCAAAAAATAAGTGAAAATAAACTTGAAAACTCAAAATAAATAAATTAAAGAATCCCCAAAATCACCAAATCAACTCGGTGAAAAAAAACTGAATCCCCCCTCCCAATATATCCATACATATTTTTTTTCTCTTCAAAATGGAATCCCTAGTCAAAAACATGATATAATTCAAGAGTAAAATAACTCTCCTCTTGCCAACAAACAATTTCATAATCTTTCAAAATGCAAATTCAGGGCATATAAATGATATTCATCCAAATCCCCTACCTCAAAAATCCACCAAAAAAAAAAACTTGATGAATAATCCAAATTATCACTCCCTAATATTTTAGTAACATTTGGTTTTTTCCTTCCAAAAATGCTATTGTTTAATCAAACTGGAAAAATTATACATGAGTGAAACCCATATAACCCCAAGAATCCACATCAACTCAGATACAAGTAATCATTTTGAATCACTTCTACCAATATTTTAGAAAAATATGATGCATGGGATCCACAGACTAAAACATGATCACAGTGAATTCTATATCAGTTGCCACAAAAAAATTTGAGAAAAAACTTGAAAACTCAAAATAAATAAATTGAAGAATCCCCAAAATTTGCACACCAAAAAGAAATGAATCCACCCTCCCAAAATATTATATATACATAGATATTTTTTCTCTTCAAAATGGGATCCCTAATCAAAAAATTGATTAAATTCAAGAGTGAAATAACTCTCCTCTTGCCAACAAGCAAATTCAAAATTTCAAAATCTTTCAAAATGCAACTTCAGGGCATATACATGATAATCCCCTTCCTCCAAAATCCACAAAATAAAATAAAAACTTTGTGAATGACCCAAATTCTCCCTCCCTCATCTTTCCAGTAACATTTGGTCCACCCCCATGGGGTGAAAAGGAAGCAACTTTTCACCAGCTCCCAACTGTCAACGTCCATCGCACCCAAACATCTCTCGTCCATTCGTCACCGTCACACCGGAAATGAAAAAAAAAAACTCTCTCGCACACACACAACACACAGGAAATAAACCAAATAAAAATACTAATCTATCCACAGTATTTATCTTCATCATCACCAACCATGAGGACAAAGATCCCCTGCACATGATTATTAAAAAAAATATATCGTCAGCCAACCAGCCAGGAAACAAAAACGGCCGACTTTATTTTTTATCATCATCCCTCCCCATTGCCATTTTAATCTACAATACAGTAATCCTGGACAACAAACAATTTTGCCCATTTCCAGGCCGTTTGACTGATGATTCCCCTCGGTACGACTTGTTACCTTTATTTTTTTTTAAAATAAATATATAAAATGTGTACATAGATATGTACAGTAATATCGGGTACTGGAGATAACCGAGTCCGGTGGGAGACGGACAGGAGTAAGTTCTTATCGCACATTCCTCATTTTATTTTCACGAGAATCATGAGTTTCTTTCTTTTTTTTTTGGTTTCATGGGTACTGGGTACGAGGCTAACGAGGCGGCGAATAATAAAACCCCGGGGGGATAATCTCGATTGTTGTTCCGCGCCGCCGCCGTTGCCGCCATCGGCTTCTAAGGCTATCCCCCCCCCTGACACTGATGCCTTATCGCTCTCGTCAAGTGTTGCCAGGTGGGGAGGCAGAGGAGTACGTTAGCATACTCTTGCAGTGGTAAAATACTCGTTTCAAGGAAATCCTTTGAGGATATTTCTGGTGTTACTAAGGGCCAAGAAGGAAAATGCTTCTGTCATCGTTGTAAAAAAAAGAGTCTAATATCGAATTTCTCAGACTATTGGGTGGGCAAAAAAAAAAGCATTTGGATTCATTCCAAACCAATTTCTTTCTAAAATTAACGAATTTTTCAAAAAATGTCACTTCTAACTAAGCAAACGAGAAACTAAAATTAAAAATTTTGACATGACACTACTTCTGTTGAATTTGCATTCATCAATTCAAAAATTGTCATCTGCTCAAATCATTGACAATATGACAGAAAAACTTGCATTTGGGAAATTGAGTAATTAACATCTAAACAGCAAATGCATTTCCTGGTTGAAAATAAAATTGGATTTTAAATCCAAAAATGTAGTGATATTTCTCAATTTTTACATAAAAATTACTTAACTTAAATTCATTCTCATCAGTCCAGAGTATGATGGTTTTGAAGGAATGAACACCCCCCAAAAATGGAAAAACTTGGTAACTATTTTTGAAAAATAAATGGTTTTTCTCCCAAAAAACTGGACAATGCTTCATTAAATATTTTTGTATTGCAAATCATATTCAAGGAAAAGACCACACCAGAAAAGCCTACTTTTCCTCCAATTGTTCTTTGCAAAAATTACATCTGGACTCTCTTCACAACAAGCTTGTCGACAACAATATTCCATGAGCATAATACAATTTTAACAAGGTCCCATAAGGTTTCCTACTCAGTTTATAAAGTTCTCTACAAATATTTTTTTAAGTCACTTGAATTTCGTTTTAGTGAGAGTCCACCTGAACAGAGAAAAATAATGACTCCAAGACCTGTCGCAAGAAGGCGTCGTCTCACGCCCATTCAATGACAAGAAAATACAAGCCCTACCCCCACTAACACTTTTACAGTACATTACTATACAATTAGAATGTGGCAACCCCGTCGGAAAGGGACGCCATGAATTTCGCCGCGGCAGCGGTGGCTGACTATCGCGCATGTCGGGAGCAGCACAGGAAACTAGGGGAGTAACACCACGGAAAAAAAAAGACAGAAAGAAGGAAATAAATGGAATGTGATGTAGATAAATAAGACTAGTTCTGGCTTAACTCCTGTCCTGTTGGGGTATCGAAAGCCATCGCGGGGCGGGCGTCCAATTTAAGTGATTAATACGCAGTCCGGACGCATCTGACAAGACAGAAACCTTTAATCGCGGTCCCNCTCCCAACTGTCAACGTCCATCGCACCCAAACATCTCTCGTCCATTCGTCACCGTCACACCGGAAATGAAAAAAAAAAACTCTCTCGCACACACACAACACACAGGAAATAAACCAAATAAAAATACTAATCTATCCACAGTATTTATCTTCATCATCACCAACCATGAGGACAAAGATCCCCTGCACATGATTATTAAAAAAAATATATCGTCAGCCAACCAGCCAGGAAACAAAAACGGCCGACTTTATTTTTTATCATCATCCCTCCCCATTGCCATTTTAATCTACAATACAGTAATCCTGGACAACAAACAATTTTGCCCATTTCCAGGCCGTTTGACTGATGATTCCCCTCGGTACGACTTGTTACCTTTATTTTTTTTTAAAATAAATATATAAAATGTGTACATAGATATGTACAGTAATATCGGGTACTGGAGATAACCGAGTCCGGTGGGAGACGGACAGGAGTAAGTTCTTATCGCACATTCCTCATTTTATTTTCACGAGAATCATGAGTTTCTTTCTTTTTTTTTTGGTTTCATGGGTACTGGGTACGAGGCTAACGAGGCGGCGAATAATAAAACCCCGGGGGGATAATCTCGATTGTTGTTCCGCGCCGCCGCCGTTGCCGCCATCGGCTTCTAAGGCTATCCCCCCCCCTGACACTGATGCCTTATCGCTCTCGTCAAGTGTTGCCAGGTGGGGAGGCAGAGGAGTACGTTAGCATACTCTTGAAGTGGTAAAATACTCGTTTCAAGGAAATCCTTTGAGGATATTTCTGGTGTTACTAAGGGCCAAGAAGGAAAATGCTTCTGTCATCGTTGTAAAAAAAAAGAGTCTAATATCGAATTTCTCAGACTATTGGGTGGGCAAAAAAAAGTTTTGTTTGTATTCATTCCAACCATTTTTTTTCCTCAAAAAATTACGAATTTTCCAAAAAATGTTGCTCATTTCTAAGCAAAGGAGAAACTAAAATTAAAAATGAATACAGGTACATGAAAATACTTCAGTAAAATTTGCAGTCATCAATTCAAAAATTGTCATATGCTCAAAGTACCTCAGAATATGGCAGAAAAATTGATTTTGGGAAATTAACATCCAAAAAATACAAATGCATTTCCTTGTCGAAAAAACATTGGATTTTTAATACAAAAATTTTGTGAAATTTTTCAATTTTTACATACTACTTCCTTACCCTACTTTAATTTATCATCATCAGTCCAGAATATGGTGGCTTTGAAGAAATGGACACCCCAAAAATGGAAAAACTTGGTAAATATTTTTTAAAGGTTTTTCTCCCAAAAAACTGGACAATGCTTCATTAAAGCTTTTCATATTGTACAGCAATTCATAATCAAGGAAAAGACTTCAACACCCAAACACACCAGAAAAGCCAACTTTTTCTCCAATTGTTCTCCGCAAAAATTACACCTGGACTCTTCTCACAACAAGCTTGTCTACAAAAATATGCCATGAGCATGATACAATTTTAACAAGGTGCTATGGGGTTTCCTACTCAGTTTGTACAGTTTTCTGCAACTATTTTTTTTTCAAATCACATGAATTTCTTCTTAGTGAGAGTCCACCTGAACAGAGAAAAATAATGACTCCAAGACCTGTCACAAGAGGGCGTCGTCTCACGCCCATTCAATGAAAAGAAAATACAAGCCCTACCCCCACTAACACTTTTACAGTACATTACTATACAATTAGAATGTGGCAACCCTGTCGGAAAGGGACGCCATGAATTTCGCCGCGGCAGCGGTGGCTGACTATCGCGCATGTCGGGAGCAGCACAGGAAACTAGGGGAGTAACACCACGGAAAAAACAGACAGAAAGAAGGAAATAAATGGAATGTGATGTAGATAAATAAAACTAGTTCTGGCTTAACTCCTGTCCTGTTGGGGTATCGAAAGCCATCGCGGGGCGGGCGTCCAATTTAAGTGATTAATACGCAGTCCGGACGCATCTGACAAGACAGAAACCTTTAATCGCGGTCCCTTCTTTTTTTCCCCCCTCCCCGTCCCTCCCTCTCTTTTTTTCCCCCCCAACCCACAAATGACCGTGTCTTTCTCCCCCCCCTCTCAGGGTACCGGATATTATGTGAAACTTGAAGACAATTCCATGGGGGATAGGGATTATGAAATCCAAAGTCCAATAACTGAGGTGAAGCATGTTAGAAGTACATGAGCAACTGTTGGTTCAAGAACAATCTCCCAACATTAAATGCAGGTTTGACTGTCCTTGTTGATTTAACACTGAACCACTTTTCAAGAACAGTAGTACATTAACCAAAGATTGATATTTGTAATATGAAAACGCCAAGAAAATCATGAGTTCATCAATCACGTTTAAAGCACAGAACCTCCCAAGTTCAAGTGCCAATGATGGCGTGATTTGTCTCAGCCTTGAGGTAACACTTACTATCTCAGTTCATCACATGATTCAACAATGTAACTTGAAAAGACCATCATACATAACGCATTTACATTTCCATTGATACATATCCATTTCCAAGTTGTTTATTGGAAGAAATTTGCATTCAGAAAACTTTGCTTCAGATTTGGAAGTATTTCTAATATCAGATAAAGCATTTTTATAATGCATTGCAGAAGAAATTTCAACTCCGCATTTTCAATTTCCTTTCAGAACTCATCTAGTAACATTTTTCTTGCTTTCTTTGCTTCAGATTTGGAAGTATTTCTAATATCAGATAAAGCATTTTTATAATGCATTGCAGAAGAAATTTCAACTCCGCATTTTCAATTTCCTTTCAGAACTCATCTAGTAACATTTTTCTTGCTTTTCTCTTTCCTGTATTTTATTTCATTAAAATATTATGTTTTATGTTATGTTTTATTTTCCTATCATTTCACAGGAGAAAACCAGGAGGGCTCCAAAAAATTGAGTTCTGGAGATTCAAGAATGCAGGCCATCAACTTTGGAAGGTTTTTAATACATTACATTGCTTCTGAGGGGATTTGAAAATGAAACTCAAATCAAACACAGGGAGGTAATTTACTTCCCAAAAAATGTCAACTGCATAGCA